TGGCCGCTCCCCCTTCCTGAAAGTTGTATCATTGCGTATTCAATAAAAGGAAGTAAAATTAAAAAGAGAAAAGAAAATGTTTGGCTTATTTCTCGAGTGGTGGTGGCGCAGTGGTTTATTCGCTGTCATCGGTGTGCATTAGATCCTCTGGTTCGAGGTTCGAACCCCGCGACCACTTTCGTGGTGGCAGCTGTGCTGTCGTCCGGTTCAACATCACGCCTAACCTAATGGGGCTTTATGTGATTTGCTGCTCCAAGCCCTGGCGTTCAGGTTGTCGGTTTCCATTATTGAATAGCAAGACTATTCGACTGTGGGTCTCACCCACTGCTGCTGGTCATACAAAATGTGTAATAAAAATGAGGTAGGAAAGGGTTGTTGGTGAAATAGAATGAGGTCAGGGTAGTAGGATAATTGGGTAAGGTGGAGTTGGCGGCAAATCGGGAAGCAAAACCTCAACTTTCTGGTGCGGTTGACATGCAAGATCATCAGAGGAAGGGGTGGCTGTGAGAAGGGTAAACATTGAGGGAAGTTGCTTTGGCAAGGGACCAAATGTTTGTCTCCAGTGACGGACGAGATCCAGTTCCCGGCTTTACAGCAACCGAAGCGCTCTTTGGTTCTCTAAATGCATGATTATTGAGCGCCTCTTCCTCGCTTACACGATGTGGTACAGGAATAAAAAGGTGCATACCTTGAAGAACGATGTCAGTGAAGTTGGAAACATTTGGAAACATCCAAAATGAAACAACGGTCGTTTCAAGTATAAAAAGTTTGGAAACCTCGAAAACCGTCCCAGTTGACTGACCTGTAGCGCCAAAGCGTGTTTCTCGAGGCGGGTGACGGATTGAGGTTAGTACACTTGATAGAGCAAGAAGCAATGCAATGATCTGACGAGCCAAGTGGAAGTGGCGTGCAGATATCTGAGAAGATTTATTTATAGTTATATATTTTCACACGTGTTTGAATTCAGATTGGTTAACCAGTTGGATCAAGTTGTTGAACAAAGCAGATTGAACGGCTTTGCGCCTCAAAAACGAAGTAACAGAAGAATGTGTCAACCCTTCCTGATTATGAACGTTTGAATCGCCCAAGTCGGTAACATGGCAGCCAGGATCCGTCTCAAACAAGTGCTCAATATTCGAATATAAAATCAGAGATAAAGAAGCCGTCAGTATTTGGGGAACGATATAAGACACAAAAGTAATGATTGAAAGACGGAATTCAGAAGTTCAGCCACATCAGCTAGCATTCACGATAGAAAAGCCAAGATTTAGTGTTTTGGAGGCGGCGACCGATTGGTGAATAAAGGTGCAGACACCAGCTTATGTTTAAAGGAGGAGTGGGGAATTTAGTTGGGGGCTTGAAAGTGGGTGATGCCTGACGAGGGCTGGACTTGTGTTTCAGTCGAAAGTAGGATGAGAGGCGAAAAAGAATGGAGAAATTAGTGTACAGAATCAATGTTGCCGTTCAGTCCGCGTATGTTGAGGAGGATGATGAGTGCATATTTGCTATTGGACCACCTGCGTTGAGTCTGACCACGCATTAGTTCTGATGCAGTTCTCTGTCCGACTGACTGGTCGGCAACAAAGCCAACAAGCTCGGACACCTCATTAACGACTATCTGTTCCAGCGGTTCATGCACCCTATGAGTCAGAGCTAGTGCGTAAGCTAAGTATCAGCGTGGTGATGTAGACGAGCAGTGGGATCAGATTAGGCGAGCAATGCATTCCGCAGCAAATGTTGCTTGTGGGTCTGAGCCTCAAACCCGGCGGAGGCATTGGATATCTCAGGAATCAGTAGTCCTGATGGAGCAAAATCGGAAAGTCCCGACCTGCCAGGATCACAACAGAGTTAGGTGGCAGCTACAACTTCGGCTCATGAAGAGCCTCAAGCAGGACTGTGATAACTGGTGGGCATCAATAGCTAGTTAAATGGAAGTGGCAGCTGCATCAGGGTATAGTCAAAGAC